GCCGGGTGCACAATCTAGCCGTTGTTATTGCACACGCGTACGTGCGAAGTCCGCCTCCGTATTCCAACACACCACCTGTGCCTGCTGCCTACCATTCACACCCGTAATTAATGCTATATGAACGGTGAATGACCTAGAAGGCATTGTAATTCATACACATCAACACGTACACGGGGCGATATATCTAAGCTATTCGCATGTATAATGAGTGATATTATGTTTTCTTTCATAATTATGTAAAGAGTGATAATTATGATTAGCTGTTCTCACGTATACAGGGCGATATTTGGCTGTTTTGTCGCACACAGGGTGATATTTGGCTGTTTTGTCGCACACATGGTGATATTTGGCTGTTTTGTCGCACACAGGGTGATATATTTGGCTGTTTTGTCGCACACGGGGTGATATTTGGCTGTTTTGTCGCACACAGGGTGATATTTGGCTGTTTTGTCGCACACAGGGTGTCGCACACAGGGTGATATTTGGCTGTTTTGTCGCACACAGGGTGATATTTGGCTGTTTTGTCGCACACTGGGTGATATTTGACTGTTTTGTCGCACACAGGGTGATACTTGGCTGTTTTGTCGCACACAGGGTGATATTTGGCTGTTTTGTCGCACACAGGGTGATATTTCGCTGGATTACTGTGACGAACCTGAACACTATGGAGTTTAATGAGACGCATGTGGATGCGGACACGCCGATGGGACTGCTGCGAGGCATCAAGGTGGGCACGGAGAGCTACCACGTGCTCTTCAGACGTCTCTGCAGGTACTCTATCACCTAAACCAGTGGTGGGCAAACCTTTCAAAGCGAGGGCCGCATCAGTGGGCCATGAAAAGTCAAAGGGCTTTTAAAATCGGGCGGTGCGCTCTAAGATAATACGTGGGATTCGCCTCAAGGGCGCCATCTCTGGACCATAATTAGCTGAAATGGCGTTGCAGAGCGAACCAGAGAATTAGAACACTAATCTATATGACACTGAAAAAGTCAGCCTCGGTTCAAGCACAAACATGTTGACTTTCACAAAAATTTATTGATTTAAAAAAACAAACCCGTGGAGGGCCGCATGCGGCCCGCGGGCCGCAGTTTCCCCACCCCTGACACAAACCAATTAATATTCCCCTAGTGATTTTTATAATCTGACGCCATCCTAGAATAGCAATGTATTGATTGTATAGATTGTAATGTTTACTAGGGCACAATCTATTGCCTCCCCCAGTCTAGTGCCCGCAACATTCCTGTGATGATGATTAAAAATTGCATTCGCACTAGCGCTGGCATTCTTAGTGAAGGCCCAATCCTTTCTCAAAGCCTGCATGCGTACGCGAAGCCCGGATATTAATATAATAATATAATAATATAATAACACTAAAGCCTGCATCCGTACGCGAAGCCCGCATAAATATCTCACACTCGCATCTGTACAGAAATTTCTATCCGTGTTTACTATTTTTTTTAAACATCGTAAGGTCAAATTGTAATCAAATTGTAATCAGTAAAGGCCTCATCTCTAGCTGAAAAAGACAGGCTCTGTTCTAAGTAAGCTAATAAGGTTACCGTCGATTCGCTATATATATATATATATATATCGAGGTACCCATCGATTACGGAATGATCGATTCGCGTCTGTCCGTCTCTAGCTACGCGGGTCTACACGGCATGGTCATCAAAGGATTCTCTAAGAGCGCCGGATACCTCCCCGGAAAGAAATTCGACGACAAGCGTTTCCGCAACACGTGGAACGCCGTCTATGTCGCCGGCAGCTGGCGCTTCGTGCAGTGCAACTGGGGCGCGCGCCACCTGGTGAACGCAAAGGACGCGCCGCGACCGAGCGAGCAGTCGCAGGTCGACAACCTGCGCTACGAGTACGACGACCACTACTTCCTCACCGACCCCGACCAGTTCATCTACGAGTTCTTCCCTTGCCAGCCCGAGTGGCAGCTGCTGCGTCACCCGCTCGCACTGCAGCAGTTCGAGAACCTGCCGTTCGTCCGCTCGTTGTTCTTCAAGTACGGACTGCGGTTCGCGGACGAACGCCAGTCGGCTGTCATGGTAACGGACGCCATCGGAGCGGTGACGGCGCGAGTGCTCATGCCGCGCGCCTTGGTGGAGAACCTCGTGTTTCACTACAACCTGCGCCTGGAGGGCAGCGACGCTGACGTCATGGATGGCGTCAGCATGCGACGCTACGTCATGCAGACGATCGTCGGTAACAGCGTCGTGTTTAAGGTGCGTCGTGACGCCGTGTGCCAGTGAGGCGGGAAGACGAGTGTAGCGGCATGCCGTACCAACGTCACTCCATCTGTCTCTCTCTCTCTCTCTCTCTCTCTCTCTCTCTCTCTCTCTCTCTCTCTCTCTTTCGCTCTCGCTCTCCCCTCTCTCCCTCTCCCCTTCTGCTGCTTCTACACTGTTAACAGCTTCTACT